GCCTTTATTTTTCTTAGGTATAAAAAAAATAGGTGCTCCGGCAGGACTTTTAAAAAATTTAATATAACCGCATTAAATATTTTTATTAATATACTAGTATAACGTGGCTAGTTTAGCAGGTAAAAAAGGGTAAATTAGCCCATAAAAAGGTAACTAGCTATTTATTATTATAATACCATGCGTAGGTACTAACTTTAAAAATATTATTTTTATATTATGTAAGGAAAATACATTTTAAAATATATTAAGTTTAGGTGGTAAATTATTTATTTAATTTAACTTGCCGCTGTTATAAACTTTTTTAGGTAAAAAAATAATAATAAATATATAAGCTTAATTCCTGCAAGCTTTTATAAATTTATATTATTTAAAAATTTAGTATTTTGTTACTTTGTTACCAAACTATTATTAATTTACTATTATATAAATATACATGGCTTAGATAGTTATAATAAAAAAAATAATTAAGTATTTAACTTTAGTTTACTTTATTTTTATATAAGGCTATTTAAATATTTTTATGGTACCCCTAGAATTAGTAACTTTAATAAGTACTTTTTATACTTTTTTTAAATTGTCTTGCTAACCGCTGTATYCCTTTAAAATAAAATAAAAAAGTTTTACTTAATTTAAATAAGCATGCTTAATAAATTCCATACTTATTATATTTACCTTTGCTTTAGTATTTAAGTCCGCCCTGGTTTTAATTTTATCCCGCGGAGCTTTTACTATTATTTTTATTTAAAAATACTTACCTATCTTTATTTTTAAATATTAAGCTAGGGCATGAGACTTTATTTTAGCTTTTTTTTATTTTTTTTTTTTATATATTTTACTTTTATTTTAATTTATATACTTACCTTCTTACTAATTATCTTACTTTTTTTTATAATATTCTTTATTTTAAGGGTCCTTAACCGCTATTTTATAAACTTTAGTAATTTAATTAGGATTTACTAGTTAAAAGTTAGGGTTTTATAATAATTTTATATAATTAGGTATAATATAACTAGGTTTTTTATACTTAAAATATATTATAAAAGTTAATTTTAACTAATCCTAGTTTAGTATTATTTTAGTGCAACTTTAAAAAAATTTTATTATACTAGGAGCTTGTTTTACAGGTATTTTATTATAACTTTTTTTAAAAGTTTATTTTATAAAATAACTTTTTTTTTAGGTTTCCTTACTACGGGTAAATCCACGTTAATTTTCTTTTAAATTAGTGGTGTTTTTTTTTTATTTAGCGGGTTTTAATTATTTATTATAATATAAGGTAATACAAGGTTATAAATATAATATACAAGACTAATATTATAAGGCAAGTTAAACTAAATACTTTTTAGTATCTAGAAGTTTTATATTATTAAGATTATAAATTTTATTTTAAAGTAAAGGTAAAAGCTTGCTAAAATAATATTAAATCTATATTTTTTTATTATTTTTTAAAAAATACTATTTTAATATAACTAAATAATTGGCAAAGTCCCTAGGATCTTGGTCTTTTTTTTAACAAGCTAACTTTAGTTTAATTATAGTATTTAGTAAACTAGTTATTAAACTTTTTAAAATTATAGCTATTTATTCTTTAAAGTATTCCTAAAAAAATTCTTGGTATTTTTTATTTATACCCTTTAATTTATTAGCATGTTAAATCTAGTTACTTTTACATGCTAATTTTATTATAATTAAAGCTCCTAAAATTTGCTATTAATTTAATTTATATTTTTTAGGTGCTTTTTTAAAGTTTAATTTTAAAGTGCCAAGCTAGTTAAGGCGTTACTATAGGCTAAAATTAAAATTATACTTAGGTATATTTTTATTTTTAATTTTATTATAATTTTTTAGTAAATTATCCTAATATTAATATTACTTTAAAGGTGCATTATGTTTAGCTAATTAATTTTTTAAATATTTAATATACCTTTTTATATTTTATAATTATTAGGTTACTAGCGTTTCGCGAGTGTTTTAATGGTTTTTTATAGTAGTACTTTTAATAGTTTTAATAATAAAAAATTATTAAATATTAAAGGGTTTTTTTTTAGGACTATTAAAATAGTCCTATTTAAAAATAAAGCGTGAGTATACTAGCAGCATAGTACATGTTTTATAAGTGGTTAATAGGTAAAAAAGTTAAAACTATAAAAACCTTAAGTAGGCTAACTAAGTATAAAATAAAGTACTAAAAGGGCTATTTAATAGGGGATTAATATTAAATCTTAAGGCCTAGGATACATAAAGACTAACTCTTAGCTAACTATTTTTTATTAGGGCGTTGGTCTTAAATATATTATTAAAAGGGTGGTAATATTATTACTGCGTGTCGGGTTAACGTTACCATAACTCTTATTTTATTAGTTCCCTTATCTTATCGGGGCTTGGCACCCGTGGGTGTGACACTAAGCATGTTAAATTTTTATATATAAAATTAAAATTTAAAAATTTAATATTTTTTAAAGGTTTTTACCGCTGCACTAGCCTAATTAAAAAGTAATAAATTAATTTTTTAACTTTACCTAATCCACCTAACTTATAAAAAAAACTTATATAATTATAACTAGGTTTAAACCCGGGACCTCCTAGTTTTTAAAAATATTTAAAAAGTAGTTTCTAGCCTAGTTTTAGCCTGTTTAAGCCTAAAAAAAAATAAGTACTTTTTTAATAAAAATAAGTGCTTAGCACTTTTTAAAGGCTTTAAGTATTTATATAAGGCTTTTTAAAGCTTAAAATAAGCTAAAATTACTTTTTAAAGGCTAAATTAAGTTATTATAGCACTAATATATAATTATTAAGTTAAAGGGCCACGTGAGTTATTATTTACCTAATAAAATAACCTTTATTTTTTAAGGGGTTAAACTAAAGTACTGCAACCACTTAGCACGCGGGCTACAGGGTATTTTATGCTCAGCACAAGCAGCTGCTTGTCCAACGGATAGGCCTCGCCCGTGACATGAAACGGTGGATCTCGGAGGTCCATGGGAATGGATGGAATACTCGCACTGTGCAAGACATCCTGCCCACAACGAGCCTCTCGACGTGGATGTTTCGGTGCGTTGCCAGGCTGGCTTATTGACTGTCGCCTGGCCATTGCATGTCGTTATTTGATGAGCGTAAAACCCCTGAATTGTGTTGAGGAGTGTCGGTCGCGATGGGAAGGCGGCGCGGGGTCACGTGACCCGGAAGGACTCATCCTCCGACTCCCGGCCAACCACGTGACCCCGCGCCGCCTTCCCATCGCGACCGACACTCCTCAACACAATTCACGATCTCAATGATCGCGACCGATTCAAATGGTGCATTAGCGCCATGCTGGACTCGGATGTACCGGAGCAGTTTCGGACCGCTCCTCCAGTCGGGCCCGTACTGACTGGACTCGGACTGGGATCGCGTTGATGCACATTCCCACCGGGCGCTCTGTGGTAAGTGGCTGGTGGCACCCCCGGTTGCTGGGCGGAAGAGAATGTCTGCATTTCCTGTCAACCGGCAAGACCCAAGCCCGAGACGGATTGGATGACGGTCCACGGGTGGCGCTGGTGATGCCAGGGTGAGGGATTGTACATTCATCCCCGACCAAGCACTCGGCCAGGGCCTTGGTCTCGGGCGGAGCAAGGTCATCGAGAAAGGTCACGTTCGATACGTCCAGAATCCCTAACCCGTCCCAGGCATCGATCGCCAGAGGAAGGCCTGGCAGGCTGCAGCCGAGGGCCAGACTTGAGCGTCTGGAATCTACCGGCCAGTCAAGAGCAGGGCTGGGTCGTGCAAAACACGAACTTGGTCAGCCGCACATCCACTGCATGACCTGTGCACAGCCGCTGCCACACTCGGCCTGAAACGCCAACAAGACGGTGTTAGCGTCGAGCTCGCTTCCGTCATGACTTGGACCTGTCTCTCCTGTTAGCAGAGATGATGACCCTTTGCGTACGGGGCTGATGGTGAAGTGGAAAGCTCACTGGGTAATCGAGGAAGCCGACTTCATGTTAACAACGAATCCGCTTTGCAGCAAATCCGATCCTCACCAGGCAGATTGCAGGCAAATCCAATTCTTTCATTGGATAGTCAGCTACTTCAGAATGAAAATCGCGCATCGATGTACGAGGCACCATGTCAGACACCAGTGTCGTCAGCTCGCTCTCATTTGCTGGCTTTGGTTACAATTGCATCACCAATAAGCAAGCCAGCTGTCGGCAGCTGGATGCAATAAACCGGGTCTGGAGAGTTGGTTGCTTTTTCCGACTATCCTCGAGTTCTACGGAGTACCATCACTCCCGGCAGGACATTCGGCTCGCCGTATTGATGTCTGGTCATTAGCGTTCGAACAACCGAGTCGGGATGATAAGCAGAACTTCGAAATGCAATGATTTCTCATTGATGGGCTATCAGGTTATGATCTGCATAATGAAACAGGCTGCTCTGGAAGCACAACTTCAGGAGCTCCTAGTACCGCTGCGACAAACTCACAAGACACGCTTTCCGACCGTCTTAATGGAAGCATAATCTCCCCAAAGCACCATCTTCATGGTTTGTCAACCCAAGAGATGTTGTATTCTATAGTAGATGTACAATGATGCATTCTGAACAGACGGGACTTCACACACAAGCTCACCGTATCATTGTACTCTGTATCTATGCCTCTTAACAATCCAACTCAATCGCTCCGGTCGGTAACATCGCGTGCGAGAACCAAGCGCAAGCGTTTCTGACAGATGCGGGTCTCGAACAGAGCTATAACTTGATCGAGGATAAAGCTGCCGTGGGGTAATGCGTGATCGAACAACGTGGCTGTTCCTCGCCCTCAGAGAATCCTCCGGCCACGCCTAATAGGAAGGCAGTGCCTGCTAGAGCAGACCCAAGTGGTCGGGCTATGCGCTCTTTTTTGAATAAGTGCAGACGAGTCATTGGCGTCTCGACGAATCTCTCCCTGGCTTCCATCGCCAAACTGATGGCGTATCTCCCGTGGTACTTCCTCAGCCCGGTCGCTCGGACAGACCGACAATGCTTCAGTAGAAGCCATTCTGTCGATTTCCGAGCTTAAGGAGCTCCGAAAGTACTTGCTGGAATTCGGGCTTGTCAGAGAAGTACTCCCGCCACAGCAATGTGGCCTCTGCGACTGCAAGAGCCCCGGGCTGATGGGAAGTGGTTGGGAGATCACGGACGAGAGTCGAGGGAATTTCGCTCCAGACATGGGAAGGCGTTGACTCGGTTTGAGGCCAGACAGAATCGACTTTCTCATCGCCGAGAATGATCACCAGCAAGGAGCGAAAGGAGGCGTCGGCGGCCTTGAGAGATAGACGCTCGTTCCAGTTGGTGCCCGCGGCTGATTTCGAGAGTTTCAGAGCCCACTCGGGCGGCTCCTGGGGGTGCCGTAGCTCTAGAAAGGCTGCAGCGAAATGGTAGGCGAGCAGGGCACGCAACGCAGGCTGACATTTATTCCAGCACACAGCTGTCGCAGGGTGGAAAGAATGGTAAACAATCATCTCATTCCCATTAAGCCGTGCGACGGACCGCATTGCAACCGAACCGACACCTCTGGATCGGAGTAGGGCGAGGGTGTCGTTCTGGCACTCGCCACTCCAACAGCATATAAGCACGCGTGGCTGTTTAATTGTCAAGATCTGCTCAACGGTGGTGAAACATTCCGAGTCGGTAGGGCGAGCTTGTTCGGGTACTGGCTTCAGCAAGAATGCATCAATCACAGAAGTATTATTGATACTTCGTGTTCCGTTAGTAGCAAGCTTGACTAACTCATCCACAGCTTTCAGACTTGGACACCGTTGAATGTAATTGTGGCGAGGCTTAGGTCGCTCTAAGAGAATCACGACGTCCGACAAGCCAGCAGCAAGGTAGCACGCCTCCTCAACCTCCACTTGAGGTGTCTGGGATTTCTCCCCAAGAGTACAGATAGCCTCGCGAACTCGTTGACCCTTGGAAGCGGCCACATCCTCGGAATCGGCCGACGTCGGGGTCGATACAGGCAGGTCTCGAAGACAAGACGGGAGACCAATCCCAAGACAGGTTACCGGAGAAGAATCCATTTGTGTTTATTGAGAGTACAGGATAATAAGGGTCTCCAGTTGCAACACTGGCGAAAATAACACATAGGGTGGTGGTGTAGGTTCATGTCTGTCGGACCTCGCACTGGCGATGATGAGTACTTAAGGTGCAAGGTGCCTCTGTTTACTGCCCCGCGATTACGAGGAGTCAAATCAGCGTAGCTACCAGTTTCTACGAGGGAGTCATATTACTCAATTAGCAGGGATAGCCCAGTCCTCTTCGTGATCTATCGAGCCTCATGGTCATCTCAGCCCCAACGCTGGCAGTGGCTGTCATGTGAATCTTTCCGGCGCCTTGTGCAACGTGCGCTCAACGTGATGGTTGGTAGATAAGCAGAGTTGTTTACAAACAAACAAAGACACGCGTCTACAAACACTGAGAGTACCAATCATTGACATAGGTGCAAGTCCACGGACTGGAGCAGACAGTCGGCCCAGTCCAGCCATTCCCGCCACACTGACCCCATCGGGGGGCACCAGTACTTGTGCTCGTGGTGGTCGACGTGGTACTCGTAACGGTCGCGGTAGTTGTTGTAGTGGGCGAGGGAACAGTTACCCCCAGTCCAGCCAACAAGCCATCGTACGCGGGCTTCTTCACAAAGTTCTCATCCCACGGCAGGGGCGCCCCATACCCCGGGAACGTGCTCGGAACCCACGAATACTTGTCCGTCCAGTCCCAAATGGTGAATCCTACGCATCCATCTGTGTCCACGCATGAACCCACTAGGTTTCGAAAGTCCGTCGCCTGCTGCGCCAGCGTAGTTGCCGACGTGGGCAGCTGAATGCGGACGTCCGCCTCTGTGTACGCGACTTCGACGCCTAGCGCCGTGAAGGACTTGAGCACACTGGTAAGTGAGCTCCTACTGGGGACCGTCCCCACGCCAAAGTGAGCCTGGAAGCCCACGCCGTCGACTTTGACGCCCGCGTTCTGGATGAGTTGCACGATGGCGCGGGCGGCCGCTGCCTTGGCACCGCCGTACTCCAGGTTGTAGTCGTTATAGTACAGCTTCACGTCGGGGTCGGCGGCTGCGGCGGCGGCGAATGCGATGGGGATGTAGGATTCGCCGATGGTGGTGTAGAAGATGTTGGTCCGGTAGGTGCCGTCTTCGTTTAGAGCTAACGAGAGTGGAAATGATCAGCCTTTGTCAAGGAATCGGGATGATGTTATTATAGCAAAGCGTTGACATACCCTCGTTCACGACGTCCCAGTGAATACATCGCCCCTTGTAATGGGTCACCACATTGGTGATGTGGTTTTGCAAGGCCGCGGTAAGAGTGGCACTCGTCCAACTGCCACTGGTCACTGTTGGCGCGTTAGTGACTCCTTGATATCATCTCCAGGGTTGAGTGATCGTACCCCAGCTGGGAAGTTGCTGATGCCAGACAAGCGTATGGCACCGCAGTAACTGGCCATTGTCCTCGGCCAGATCAGCAATGACGTCTCCTCTGGTGAAGCTGAAGGTGCCCTGGGATGGCTCGGTGCTATCCCACTATTCCTCAGTGTCAGCAATGGGTATTTCCTTCCAATATTCAAAGTTTGCCCACCTTCTGCGAGTTCCCAGGGGTGATTTGACCAAAGTCAGAGGTATTGCTGAGCTGGGCCAGGTATGGAAGGTCCGTCAGCTCCCCATTGTCCGTTGCCGAGCCGAAAAACTCCAGTCCTGCGGCAACTGCAGCCTCATGCAGACCAATGGCAGAGACGCTAAATGGTTTGACATATTATTAGCTGTTACGCCTGTGCATGATGAGTCGGGAGTAAGGAAACACTAACATATTGGGAAGGAGACATGCGGCAAGCGCCCCAGTAAGTGAATGGAACATTGCTTCAGATAGTGGTCCTCGTCAAGTCCTCGCTCAGAGGAGGGATCTAAAGGGGAGGGAATGGGATAGGCTGGCATATTTATATACTGAACTTAGCTCAGGCATCGGACCACTGGATGAAATACATCCAATTCAATCTTGAAGAGAGAAGATGTGATCCCGTCTGCCCGGGGCGGAGCTGTCCTCCGTGCTCCGTCTATGGTACCATAGAGTCTAGCAAGCCATGGCAACAAGTGAGGAAGAATAAGCGATGCATACAAAACATTTACTTTCCGCAGGGCTTTCAGCCTGATGTGCAGGTGATCCGTGGAGGGTTCCCCGCACTGGATAGATTGAGCAGCAGGGGTCAAAAAGCCTCTCGGCCCGCGCCGAAAACGGTTTCCCGTGCCTGATTCGCTTCCCTTGCCTTCATTATCTTCAAAGCATTCTTAAAGCTTTTGCTGGGATGAAGTTGTCAGAGTGCAAAACCTCCTCGATAGGGATAATCTTATGATGGGGGGGTGGACCAAGCGCACATTCGGCATGTCGAGACGAGGACGGGGCAAAGCTAGAGAACTGGGTCAGTATTATGTAGTATGATTATTTACTGCTGCATCTGTACGGGTTCTAGTACGTCTAATGGACCAAAAACACTGATCGAGGTTATATATATTCATCACGACGATGAAAAAATATAATTCAAGGACGGTGGCTGTTCTTGGATAGCCTATAAAAGTAACCGACAATGGAGAACGAGAGCATCACTACAAGCAGGCGCAGCTATCAAAGTACGAATGGGCTACCTTATCGTATCATACTATGCATACCGCCATGACTTTCAGTTGGAGACCAAGGGATAATTCAAATTCAATCGACTACAGCAGAGAGTAATGCTAAAAGTACCCCGCCCACACAAGCTGCTCATGGTTCGTTCAGGACGCTTAACCCCCATCCTCAGACGGAAATTCAGAAAGCAGGATTTGCATTTTTCAAGAGTTGGACGAAGTAGGCCTAGTTGTACTCGTCAGCAGTAGCAGCGAATATCAGAGTGAGATCATACCTGGAACCACGTCCCTGCCTCCGGAGCCGGCTGCAACGCGTCGCTGTATCCGCAGTGGGCATCGTATCTCGTCGCAGAGCTATCGGATGTCCCGTCACTCTCACCACCGGGTTTGATCCAGACAAAGGCGTCGACCAGGGTATCGCCCGTGTTCGTGGTCGGTCGCACGCCAAATCCTGTGTTGATGACGTTGCACCAGTCGCCCCAAGCCTGTTGGCCTGTGGGCTGCTTGCCATTCCGGCCGGTGTCAACGATGAAGTGCGCGTTGAAGCCTTGGGCGGTAAGGAGGGGGGCGAGGGCGTTGACGTAGCGCTTCTCGTCACAGACTGTGTTGCCCTGAGTGTAGGAGGGACAAGTTCCGATGGTCCAGGCGTTGTAGTTGGCGACGTTGGTGGCAAGACCGCGCACCGAAGCGGGCGATCCGGCGTTTTTGTAGACGCTTGCGTAGAGGTTGGCCGCGGGTTGGAGGTTTGCAGACCAGCCAAGCCATCCTGCGTGCCCTATAGACATCGAGTTAGTATTTCAGCGTGGATCTGGGCCAATAAAGGTCTTGACCCACCGGCGTCGAGATACATGTCCACATTTGGCAGGTTGAGCTGGGTGAGTGCATAGTCGGTGCATTCGAGATATGCACTTTGAGCGTTGGCGCATTTGGGGACATTTAGATTTGTGACGAGGTTTGCAAGACTGTCCGGCTCTATTAAATGTGTTCAGTATGGGCCTGCAGATGGGGAAACGACGTCTCCTACCAATGACTAGGATCGTCTGGACATCCGAGTACCCAAGAAGAATTTCTCGAATCGAGTCAATGTAGGCTTTATAATGCTCCACGCCATTATCATCAATAGCGTACTCGCCATTGCTGGCAAGGGCAGCACAGTCGCGGTCTGGAAGGTCGTATACGACAAACTGCCCGGCGATGGGGGGGTTCGCTCCAGCAGCATTCTTGGCTTTGATGTCGGCCAGATAGTCGTCCATGGTGGGTACTTTGGCCGCGGTGTCGCTGTTCTGATGTTACCTCAATGCTTGACAATGACTGCAAAGCAAACTTACAGCCATACAAAGGAAGGCACCTTCGCAGCGGCAGTTGCTGCCGCTGCGAGCGAGGACAAGGTACCCGTAAGGGATGGGATGGCGATTGAGTGCACCTCCGAGGAGTAGTACGGGTTAACGTAAAGCTGGTAGCCGCTGAAGGGATTGCCAGTGGCGGTCGCAGTGACGGTAGCCGAAGTAGAGGTGGAGCTCGTGATGCTGGTCGTACCGCTCGTCGTAGTTGTCGCTGACGATGTCGTGGTGGTCAAAGTGGTCGAGGTGGTCGCCGCGGGCAGGCATTGGGCGTACCCTATCCACTGTTATTGATTGCCCATCCCAAGCAGAGAAGCCTAATACAGACATTGATTCACTGTTGAGCATGCGGCTCCAGCAACGCAACTAGTTGCCCCTGACCAGCCCTCGCCTCCGCCTGATAGACTTGTCAGTTCTGCGCCCAGGATAATGTGGGTAAGCCAACACATACATTGACCATAGAGAGTCTGCTGGGCCTGGATCACGGAGGGCAGAAGCGCCAGAGCAAGAGAAACAGTAGTGCAATGCATTTTGAAAGCAGTGCGTTTGATAGATTGTCTGCTGCTGTACAATTCACATTCATCTTCGTCGCCGAGGAGGATTTATACCAACGTCTCCCCCTGGCCTAATGGTCTCGATGGCGTTATGTGCGCGGGGCGTACACCGTTTTCCCGTGTCCAATTTGATCCCAGTATGCAATCTTCTGAAGAGAAAAAGAAGGTACCTGAGAAGCATGTTAACATTCTTGGCTGCCAGAATTCGCAACAGGAACTTGCCGTGGCATACTTCGTGCGGAACAGACGGAACGCCTTCATGACTGGACACCGTCCACTCCGTTCTGCATACAGCTGTAGAAAAGGGTCCCTGCATGGGTGATATATTACATGCATAGACGGTGCAGTCCTATTGGCAGTCCTGGAGCGCCATGCAGCCATGCTCCGGGGGACGAGCGACAATCCCAAAGGGGAACGGAGGCAGTGGCACGTGCACCAAGACCTGAAAGCAGCCCCACTCAAGGGCTGGATCTGATAGTTTGGATCGAGAGAGTGACGGTACGGTATCGTAAGCAGAGACGGTACGGTACCGTAAGAGGCAATCGGAACAGAGTTTTCCCATGAGCCGACGACGACCGGCCTGCACGATCAGTTCCAAACCTGCAACCACCAGTTCCAGAGCCACCGCGTTTGCCCGTGGCTCATTTCGACATCTCAACATGGCCAAGACCAAATCGATGAAGCGCAAGCGGAATGCGCAACATTCACTGCCGCAGAAACTCTCCAAGCCGACCACTCTGCCACCGACGCCCCCGCCCGATGTGGCGACTCCCGACCCGCACCTGAACACCATTGTATCGGCCGAGGAGCTTGAGACGACCATTGAGACCCTCAGTGCCCTCTCAGAGTACCCGGGCTTGACAAAATCAAAGGGATGTAAGGATCTTCGAGCCGCAGTCTATGAATTTCGCCGGGCCTGCACAACGGGACTCGACAATGCTGGTAACGTCCCTCCTTGTCCACAATGAAGCACGATAGCTGAGAATCGAATAGAGGGCGCAAACTTGACTGCGCGAATCACCGGCGCCCTGGCCGATGGGAAGTATGTCGATGCCAAGGTCTTACTTGCCGAGATGAGGATTCGAGGCGAGAAGCCCAAGATCGGGGCCTTGTGTCGCTGGGTGCGCGATCTGGATGTTGTCAGCGGCCTCTCCACGCAGCCAGGGGCAATCGAAGCCCTTCCAGAGCGCAGTGCAAAGGACCTCGAGCTCTTGAGCGTTCTGGATGCGATTCTGCGCATTAGCACTCCCATTGACACCAACCCTCTCGCCGTCACCTCGGCCTCCCCGATCGCCTTCCAGTCCATCTGGGACCTGCGCCCGTCCACACCTCCATTACCCGTTTATGCCTCAGTGCTAGACAAATCCATTCTGGACCTGGCGCCAAAGTCCTCTTCCGCGATCGAGATCCTCGAAACGACGCCCGGTCCGTTCCGCAAACCGCCAAACCACCACCCCGCCATTCTGTACACCACCAGCCCAGGGGCGGTCCCCTTGGCATCTGCCATCCCATCCATCACATACCATCCGCATCCCGCGGTCCCCGGCCTCGGCCTCGCAATGAACGTTCTCTCTGCTACCGAGTGCCAGGCAATCATCGCCGCCGGTGAATCCGTCAACTTCCTCCCCGACGCGCCCCTCCGCGAAGACGGAGACATGAGCATCCTCGCCCATAACTTCTACTGGATCATCGACACAGCTTTCCACGATACCCTCTGGGCCAGAATCTCACCCTACGTTCCCCCCTCCGTCAACGGCCGGTCCGTCCGCGGCATCAACCGCCGCTTCCGCGTTTACCGGTACGTCCCGGGGGCCGAATACCGCTGCCACATTGACGGAGCGTGGCCGCCATCCGGAATCAGTCCTGAGGGGAAATACATTTACGACGCCTCCCCGCCCGACAAGAAGCAGAGCTCGATGTACACGTTTCTGTTGTATCTCAACGACGAGTTTGAGGGCGGGGAGACAACGTTCTTCATGCCGGCGGCGAAGGAGGGGACGCTGAATGCGTATCCTGTGCGGCCTGTGATGGGCTCAGTTGCGATCTTTCCACATGGGGAGGCGAATGGGGCGTTGTTGCATGAGGGCACCGGGGTGAGGAAGGGGGCGAAATATATTATCCGGACTGATGTTGAGTATGATGTTAAGCTACTGTGATCGGACGGGCGGATATTGGCGTGGGATTTGGAGTTTGTCAACACGAGCGTGTTATAAAATGCCCGAGAGTCTGCCTCTGATAGAATGATTGGCAAATGCATGTTGGATCCTCTCAGATCCTGAACCTTATTTAGTTGACTGCTATATTTCGAGCGGATGGCGCCTACAGAGAAGCTAGCTTCGGAGTCCCTTCTTTAAGCCCTACGGGCAAAGAGGCTGCAAGCGCTGATGAAGCCCAGCAAGTCTGGTCCAACCAGTTAACCAACATTGGCCCCTTCGATTCATAGTGTCGAGACAGCACCGCAGCAAGAAGGCCCTTCACCGGCTAGAAACCCATCCTCTTAGGCTCTCACTGCACTCCCCTCGATCCTTTTCGGCGGGGTAACATTACACCAACATCCCAGTCCACGGCCATTGGTCGTACTTGTTTCTTGAGACTTATCTAACCGCCGGTATCACACCATGAGCTGTTCCCTCGATATGATCCTCCAGGATTTGTTCCCGGCGACTGAGATATAAAAGGTGCGTGGAAGCTGGCCCAGCTTGTGTTTCCACTACATTGTTCCCCAGCGCCCATTTTCAAACAACTACATCAAATTGGTCGCATTACCTCTGCTTTAGAATTCAATTGCAACCCCTCCCATCGTTCTCCACCCTCAGACTCGTACCTTTGTCCAGTGACAATGGCCCCCGCAAAGGTCTTGGGCACCACGGTTTTCTCCGAAATCATTCAGAACGGGCGTAAGATTAAGATAGGCTACGTTTCAACCACCGATGCCTGGCACAGAATCTACCTCAGCCCCGAAATGCAGATGCAATTCAAGAGCGCTGCCGAACGACACAAGGACACGATCAGATCAGACACTGACATTGTTGCCATGCAGTACGCTCTCTCTTGTTCCGTACTTAACTTGGAGCGTTTTCATTCCGGCCTGGGACGCTCACTGATTTCCTTCGTCTAGGGAGACTCCGCATCAAAGCCATTCCGACAGCCGCATTCACTTTACTGTTGTTGAGATCGATGACGGTATCTTGATCAAACTAATAAATCTGCGCCCTTGAACCAAGGGTGTTCCAAAGCCCCCCGTGCGGTAATCCTGCTACTCGGATCCAGGTTTGTCATGTTTTTGAGCAGGTCCCTTAGCTCCGGATCAAGATACGTCCACCGCTCGACGGGGTGTCTCGGATTGTGTGGACCAAGCTCATTCGCAAGTTCCAAAAAACGATTGAAAAAGGGATTGTCCACGCCAATATGATTTAGAAGGCCCTCAAGGCCCTCGGCCGTTTCGCCCCCGAAGTATGAGAGATGGCGAACCAGGATATGTCGCCATGCGTCAGGCGCAGCAAGCATCTCGTCGTCGACGCGGAAGACCATTTCGTTTATCATCACGTATATGGTCTACGAATGTTAGAGAGCCCAGTTACATGCAACTATCCAAATGTATTAGCGGGAAAATGAACGTACCACAATTGCAAACGAGAAGATATCAGATGCCTGGTTCTGCGCAGACCGACACCAGCTCTCAGGGCTCCTCCACATGGCATTGCCGCAAAGAGGACCCCTTAGCCATTTGCCAGGCGGCACGATAACAGTATCATCAAGGTCCGAGATCTGAATATTGCTGACTGTAAGACCCTCATGGTCCAAAACGATGTTGTTGGGTTTAATGTCTGAAACAAGGGATGAGCATCAGTGTCTTCACATGGCAGTGAAGCTCAGATCTACCGTTGTGTACTATATCATGATCGTGCATTTCAGCCAACCCCTGCAGAGCGGTGCGGAGGATATTGCGTCTCGTCTCTGCGGACAGGGGCTGTTGGGCGCAGCGGAGCAGGTCGGTGGACCGGAAGGGGTAGATGAACATGTCCGACTCTTTGATCGTGTCGATCACGGTCCGGATGCGAGGGGAGTTGCCCAATGTCTTGTGGATAGAAAGCTGGTATTCGAACTCTCCCTTAACGATGTCTTTGACGATGAACTCCTTGCCCTCGGTGCTTACCGAAGGCAGAGGTGTTAGCTGGCATAAAGGCCCGGGGGAGAGGGAAGCGTACGAAGCCCGGTACACGCACAGCAAAGGCTTTCTGCGGTCCGCAAGGATCTCTTCGACTTTGTAAGTTTTCCCGGACTCGCTGTTGAGCAGCGTCCCCAGGGGGAAAGGCTCCTGGCGATTGTGCGACACGGTAGACATAGCGAGTCGGTGCAAGGGATGAGGCCTTGGGAAGAGGGAGATGATGCGCAGTCGGGGTGAAAACATTGAAGGCAGTGGTAGGGGGTGATGGGAAGGATGCAGTTAGTCGCATTGCCGGCGCTTACGGGGATGTCCAAGTCCTAAAGGCTGATTGGAACATGTGTAACTCCCGGGCGAGCCAATTAGGTCTAGCTCCACTCGGGTACAACTACCACCCCTGCCAACACTTTAGGATTATTTAAACTGACAGGTTAGTTATTTAGGTTAATAGGCCACGTGCTAACTTAGCACCCACCCTTATTTTATATTAAAAAATAAGTTATTTAGGTTAACATGTTATGCCTGGTAATAATATTAAATAATTATATCAGGGCCAATATTTTTCTATTTAATATTACTAGAGCTAATCCACTATTAGTTAAAAGTTAGTACCTTAGGTAACCTAAGCTTTAGCCTTAGGCCGCCAAGGCTTGGCATATTTTATTATTATATTAAGTTATATAACTTAATTAAATTATTATTATTTAAGGTTTTAACTACTAGTTAAGCAAGGCTAGGATAAGTCTTAAATATAAGTTAAATAAAAATTTATATATAAAGTATTTTAAATTTATATTTACTTTTTAATTAAAAATAGCTTAAGTATAGCTTAAAAATTTATAAAAATAGCTTTAAAACTAGCCTTTTTTTAAAGTTTTAAGTAACTTTTTTAATATTATTTAATAAGGTTTAAAATAGTTTATTTTTATTAATTAAATTTTTTATTAATATTTTTATTATTAGTAAAAAATTTTAAAATTTATTAATTTTATAGTTAAAGTTACTTTTACCTATTATTTTTTAAACTTTTTTAATAATAATATTTTAAATTAAATTTTTAAAAAATAAGTAAAAATAGTTTATAAGTATTTTAGCTAAGGTTTTTAAAACCTAGACTTAAATAGCTAAAAAAATCTTTTTTTATTTATACTTAAAAATCCTATTATTATTAAAAATAATTAAAAAAAACCTAATTTAAATAATTAAGTTTATTAGCTTAATAAAATATATAGTAAAATATACCTTTTACCCTATTTTTTTATATTATTACTAAAACCTATTAATTTAAAAATTATTATAATTAAAGCTATTTTTAAAAAAAAGTAGCTTAGGATTATAATACCTAGCTTATTTACCCTTTAATTTTAATATAATTAATATTATATATTAAAATTAAAATATTTTTTTTAAGAAAATAAGAAAAAGTTACCCCTATAACCTAACTATATTGTGTAGCTAGACCCCCCCCTCTAGCGCCAAAAATTAAAACCCTAGGGGGGGGGTCTAAAAAATTTTTAGATCCCCCCCTAACTTTTTTATTATTAGGCTAAATCTAGTAATTCTTTTTTTATTATATAAAAAATTTAGTTAAATTTAATAATTTTTAAAAAAAATTAAAAAATATTTATATTTAGCTTAGCTAATATTATTTAAAGTTTTAATAAAAATTTTTATTAGGGTAAGCCTTGGCGTGCTAAAAGCAAGAAAATTATACCCTTTTAGGCTATTACTAAAGACCCTAGGTTACTTAAGTAATTATAAATATTTAAGGCACTTAAGGCACCTAACTATATTATATAGCTAGATTTCCCCCCCTTTAATACTAAAAATTAAAACCCTAGGGGGGGGGGGGGGTCCAAAAAATTTTTAAACCCCCTTTTAACTTTTTTATTATTAGGCTAAATCTAGTAATTCTTTTTTTATTATATAGGAAATTTAGTTAAATTTAATATTTTTTAAAAAAATTAAAAAATATTAATATTTAGCTTAGCTAATATTAATTAAAGTTTTAGTAAAAATTTTTATTAGGGTAGGCCTTGGCGCGCTAAAAATAAAAAAACTATACCCTTTTAGGCCACTATTAAAGACCCTAGGTTGCTTAGGTAATTATAAACACCTAAGGTAACTAATTTTATTTTAAATATTTTTAATTTTTCAAAAGTTAAGAGTTAGGAAAATAAGGTTAATTTAAATTAGTTTTTATTGAAAAAATATTAAATAAAACTAACTTATAATAGGCTTTTTAAACAGGGAATTATATTTTTTATTTAGTTTTTTTAAATAAAAAAGTTATCTTAAAAATTTAGAGTTTTATTCAGCTTTAAAATATTTTTAAAAAAAAAACCTTTTAATTTTTTAATAAATAAGCTTATAATAGGCTAATTAAATTAAGGTTATATTATTAAATTTAATATTTTTTATATTATATATTACTATATATTACTAAATATAAAAAATAAACTTTTTTTATTTTTATATTTTAACTTTTAAAAATTATATATATTTATTAATATTAACCTTAACCCAAAGGTGGTGCGGGTTTATAATATAATTATATTAATAATTAATTATTAATTAATTAAATTTTAAAAATTTTAATTATAAACCTTTAAAATTAAAAATTATAAATTAATTAGGTAAATACACATAAATTTTTTTTAAATTTAAAAGGTAAATAAAGTTATTAATTAAATTTAATTTATAAAAGTTTTAAAATAATTATAATATAGGTTAAAAAGTAAAATAGTTATAAAATTATTAAGTTAGGTATAAAATTAAAATTTAATAAAATAAAATGGCTAATAGTAACAGGAAGTTATATAAATACTTATAATAATAAGTATTTTAAACTAAATAAACTATAAATTACTTATTATAAGGGTAAATACGTATAAATTTTTTTTAAATTTAAAAGGTAAATAAAGTTAATAATTAAATTTAATTTAAAAAAGTTTTAAAGTAATTATTATATAAGTTAGGAAGTAAAATAATTATAAAGTTATTAAGTTAAATATAAAATTAAAATTTAATAAAATAAAATAACTAATAATAGCAGGGAGTTATTATATAAAAAAAATATATTTAAAAGTTTAGGTTAAGATAAAAAAATATTTTAATAATTTATTAATAAAGAAATTACTAAAGTATTAAAATTATATTATACTTACTAAAAATACCTAAAAAAACTAGTATTACCTTTTACCCTCAAAGGGTAATAATTATTATTTTTATAATTAAAAAAGCTATTAAAAGTGCTTTAAAAAGCTAATATTATTACTTACCCTTAAGGGGTAGTAATTACTATTTTTACTAAAAGTACCTTAAAAAGTAAGTATTATTACCTACCCTTAAAAGGTAGTAATAACTATTTTTATAATGAAAAAAATAAATATTAATAAAATTATATAATACTTATTAAAAATATTTTAAAAAGCTAGTATTACTACCTGCCCTTAAAAAATAATAATTATTATTTTTACTAAAAGTACCTTAAAAAATAAGTATTATTATTTACTTTTAAAGGGTAATAATAATTATTTTTACTAAAAATATTTTAAAAAGTTAGTATTATTACTTGCCCTTAAAAAATAATAATAATTATTTTTATTAAAAGTATTTTAAAAAGTAAGTATTATTACTTGCTTTTCAAAGGTAGTAATAACTACCCTTATAATTAAAAAAGTAAGTATTAATAAAATTATATAATACTTACTAAAAATACCTTAAAAAATAAATATTATTATTTACCCTTAAAAAATAGTAATTACTATTTTTATTAAAAATATCTTAAAAAATAAGTATTACTACCTGCCTTTAAAAAGTAATAATAATTATTTTTATTAAAAATATTTTAAAAAGCTAGTATTACTACCTGCCCTTAAAAAGTAATAATAATTATTTTTATTAAANTTAAAAAGTAATAATAATTATTTTTATTAAAAATATTTTAAAAAGCTAGTATTACTACCTGCCCTTAAAAAGTAATAATAATTATTTTTATTAAAAATATTTTAAAAAATAAGTATTATTACCTACTTTTAAAGGGTAGTAATAACTATTTTTATTAAAAATATTTTAAAAAATAAGTATTATTACCTGCCTTTAAGGGATAGTAATAATTATTTTTATTAAAAGTATTTTAAAAAGCTAGTATTACTACCTGCCCTTAAAAAATAATAATAATTATTTTTATTAAAAGTATTTTAAAAAATAAATATTATTACTTATTTTTAAGGGGTAATAATAGCTACCCTTATAATTAAAAAAATAAGTATTAATAAGGTTATATAATATTTATTAAAAGTATTTTAAAAAGCTAGTATTACTACCTACCCTTAAAAAGTAATAATAATTATTTTTATTAAAAATATTTTAAAAAGCTAATATTACTACCTGCCCTTAAAAAATAATAATTATTATTTTTATTAAAAGTACTTTAAAAAATAAGTATTATTACCTGCCTTTAAGGGGTAGTAATAACTATTTTTATTAAAAATATTTTAAAAAGTAAATATTATTACCTACCCTTAAGGGGTAGTAATAATTATTTTTATTAAAAATATTTTAAAAAGTAAGTATTACTACCTGCCCTTAAGGGGTAATAATAATTATTTTTATTAAAAATATTTTAAAAAGTAAGTATTACTACCTGCCCTTAAGGGGTAGTAATACCTATTTTTATTAAAAATATTTTAAAAAGTAAGTATTACTACCTACTTTTAAAAGGTAGTAATAGCTAGCCTTATAATTAAAAAAATAAGTATTAATAAAATTATATAATATTTATTAAAAATATTTTAAAAAGCTAGTATTATTACCTGCCTTTAAAAAATAATAATTATTATTTTTATTAAAATTATTTTAAAAAATAAGTATTATTACCTGCCCTTAAGGGGTAATAATAACTATTTTTATTAAAGGTACCTTAAAAAATAAGTATTATTACCTGCTTTTAAAGGGTAGTAATAACTATTTTTATAATTAAAAAAATAAGTATTAATAAGGTTATATAGTACTTATTAAAAATACCTTAAAAAATAAGTATTATTACCTACCCTTAAAAAATAGTAATAATTATTTTTATTAAAAGTACCTTAAAAAGTAAATATTATTACTTATTTTTAAAAGGTAATAATAGCTACCCTTATAATTAAAAAAATAAGTATTAATAAGGTTATATA